TGTGGAAATTCAAATTTTATTTGCAAGTCCTCACAACTGCATATACTGTATAATTACTTACAAGTTTAATCGCAAACATAAATAATTTCATACTCTAAAAAAGACTAGTAAGATTAACTAGATAAATAATAATAATTCGAAATTTCTAATTTCAATAAATAATAAACGGAAATGGGGACACACCTAATAAAATATAAAAGTTTTAACCTTTTTAAACAGTCATTGGTTATATTGTTTAATATCAAATTCTAAAATACTTTCATAGTTCTGTAATAAAGCAAGAAATAACAAGTGGATAATTATATTTATCATGTAAAATTATATCACTTAAAACTATGTTAAATATCATAAAAATTGAATCTATCTCTATCATAATCAATAAATAATATTGGTAATCGCAACATAATGTTGGAACATCTAATTGAAATTTGATTTTTGATTTATTTGTTTATCTTATCTTCTACTCTAGTAGGTATTTATTCCTTTTCATCGGTACCATTTACTTGCTAAATAACTACAACTTTTTATAAACAAAAAAGTTGAAAAAAAAAAAATGTTTTGTAAATTTTTGTTATAATAGGTACCTACACGAGGAAAGTATCAACATTCCATGATAAGTTTTTATATTATTTCGTATCCATCGCTGTTACCTAATCTTCATTGCTTTTTTATTTTCAGAATGTGTCGGAAAAATATGCAAATGCATCAATTTAGCACCAAAGATAATTAGTTTTGAAGTTAATCAAATTACATCAGAATTCCTCAATATCAGCTGGGAAACAGACAATGATAATTCACTTAATAAAAGAGCTAACAACCTAACACAAATATCTTTTAAGTAAGATTTTTATTTATGTAAAAATACGATAAGTATCGGAAATTATAGACGAATATTTAAAATTTCAAAAAGTACAGCTTTTTATGTAGAAAAATGAAATAACTAATTAGTAATATCTTATATCTTTTGTTAATTATTTCTTTTTTGATAAATATTAATTTATTCTGAGTAGAATGGATGTTATTATATTTTTGCCTTAAGGGTCACACTTAATTGCTTGTTAAGTTATAGACTTAATCATGACGGAGAGCAGCTAGAATCCGATCTACCATTCAATAAATGGTTAAAAGATATAGAAAAGTTTACAAACAAATCGTCAATAATCGTTCCCGCCGATCATTTCAGAAACGATTTTGCTTATGATATACAGGGGAAGTTTCGAAATAACTTTTCTTGCACTTCCTATGTGTATGTTAATAACTTTACCCTCTGCCCTTTTTAATTCCTCTTTAATAACTCTCCATCGAACTCTTCATATTTTATAAGGTGTCCTACCAACTTATCTCGCCTATTTCTAATTAAACGCCCTCTGTTAAAAAAAAAAAAAAACAAAAAAAGAAAAATAGAACCTCGGAAACAATCAGAAAACGTACCAGTTTTGAATTATCCCTTCAAAAACGTGAATTATAAATACTTGTTTGAATGAATTTTAAGAAAATTAATTTTATACACTTATTTCTATTTAGTTGCTGATTTTATTATACAACGTAGGTAAGTAAAATCATCCAATGAAATTTTGTTATGATGGACAAAAACAATAGGTACTTAAATATGAAATTTAATTATTTAGAAAATAAATTTACATCTGTCACAAGAGGGGCTACCTACAATAAACTGTTTAATTTCAGTAGGCAGTTGCGGCAAACGATCACAAGGGTAAATATTTGACGACTATGTATATAAAATAAATAAACATTCTAACAACACATGTTAACAAGATATGTACCTAAACAGTTGTACGCATATCTGTAGTAGTAGACCTCAACATTGAACTGAAAATATCTTTATTGACAAACCTACTTAAGTTCTTGAAGCACTCAGAGTCATAAAAAGGTCTAAGAATAAACTATAAATTTCATCTCGGCATATATGCATAAATTTAATGTTTTACTCGTCTGGTTCATCAAACAAAATTAAGAAAGACAACAAAATAAAAGGCCCTTGTGAATTTCACTTAAAAATATTGTTTTGCCACGCTGTAGCTTCTTCAAAAGTCAGATGCCACACAGTTACTTCTTCAGAAGTTTTATAGAATTACGTTTAGTATCTTTTTACTAAGCATTTTAGAAATTTTGCAATTGTTAAAAGTGTAGCATGACGCGAATTTTACCTTAATATTAACATTAGTTACAAGAGATTTAACTTTACAATCCATCCTGATACCTTACGCTCACAGTAATCTATTAGCGATAATTTCAGCATACTCTAGAAAAAGTAATGACAAACATGATGGATTCGTTCTTACGATATATGTACCAAAATATATATAAGATAATTTTTGTTGAACAAATAATTTTCAATTGTTTCTGAGACGTAAATTTGTTTTAATTTTTTATCTTGAAATTTATTAATCGCCTTCGTTAAAAATGTTACTGATTAAGTCGATTTTTCTGATCGTGTAGTTATCATGCATCGTATATCATATCTGACTGAGAAGTGAACAAATAAAGTACAACTTTCGCGCATTAAAGGGATATCATGTGCCAAGAACTTATTTAAATCACTCGGTAATCGTTAGTAGCATCGACAAACTGTTTCGCTAATATTTAACAAAAAAATTATCACTCGCTGACTACTTATAATCAGCGTGTTTATGAATTTTGTGGCAATAAGTGAAAATAATGCTTTTAACGTAAAAAATCATTTGTAGTACAAACTACACAAAAAAAAGGTAATGTAACAGTGGTTGGAGTGCGTGTTTGAAAGGTTCTACCAGGTTTTATTATTGCCTTTGTAAGACTGACTTTTTCGAAAATTGTAAGGTAAGCAGTATATTTTACTAAATCTTTTAAATTTGATTATCAACTCTTATAAAATCAAAAACCTACCCAAAGATAAGAACGCACACTATCGATAAACAAATTTTATGAAAAACACTTCATGTTTTATTGAAAACTCTTCATATAAACGTGACAAAGTTTCAAAATTAAGTTGGAAAACCAAAACAAGAAAGCTTCTTCTAATTATGAGTAAAAAATTTTCAATGTTTCAATGAAACTTCTTAAATGTCTTTTATAATTATTTTATGAAACAAGGACACAAATGAATGTGAATCTAAATTGTCAGTGAAGGTTTTTCAGGAAAAAATTGTCTTTACAACATTCCAAACCCTACTTTTGTTGCAAAGCTTTCTTTGAAGATAACATTTTACAATTAATTGAAGATATACAAAGACAAAAATTAAAGTGTATTTAATTAGTTGAAAAATAATACCAAGCGTCTTCAGAGTAAAAGAATGTTTTCAGTATTTTAGTCGGTACATTTGTTTTCTCTTTTCTAAATTTATTTGAAGATATAACAATGGAAATGCAATTCGGGTTGTAATAAAAATGGCGGTTTGTTTGGTGAAAGGTTATCATAGTTATTGTCACCCTGTATACTTGAATAAACGATGCTACTTTTAATAAATTGAAATGACGAAAGTCTAATTATCTTATTGTGGTGAATGATCAACATTGACAGAAAGTCAATATTTAGCTTGTTTATAAATAAGTCGATAAAAATTAATTTCCTTGTCCTTCCTGTCCTAGAGTTTTCACAGCGTCAGTTGTTCCGAAGTGGCGTATTATCTTGGTTAAAAAAAGAAACTGAAAGAGTAAAACGTAAAAGTTTCGCAACGATTTTTCTTATGAAAACTAAAGAGATTATGATCACGAAAATACCAGAAAAGGGATGAAGAAAATTGTTATATCCTGCTGCATTCTCTTCCACATTGTATTGAAGGTATATCATTTAGATTAAACCTAAAAGGTGCTACCACTTTACCTTTGATAGTTTCTTCTAACGATAACACAAAATTCAAAAAGATGTCAATATATCTATTTATCAGAAAAGAAAGTTATTTGGCCGAGCTTCAACCTATTAACGGTGAATTTAGTGCAGTCACTTTTTTGTATAGTCTTGTAATGTGACTTTATGAATTCAAATGTTGTATACCATCTTAAGAAGATGATTACAAAATTGCCAACAAAAATATTTATTGAAAATCCGTTAAATCGCGTGATATGTGTTCGTCAAATTCAAATAACATCTTATCTATAATCAATCGCTCATGCCTTATCAGTTAATTTTAATGAAAATATCTAGTAAACGAAAGCATATTGTATTTACAATAACAAACAGATAGCAACAGATACATTTTTGAATATTTAACGCTCATTCGCAATCGACAAGCAAATTTTTAATTATTACTTATTTACATTATAGGCACATTCACAAACATCAGATAAAAAGCAATTTTTAGGGAAAAAACTTGCATCAGGTAACTTATTTTATTCATAATGTAATATGCATATACGTAATTCATATACTGAATTTTGATTTTAAGAATACATACATATTCTATTTTTTTAGAATACATTGAAGATGAAGTATTATTATCAACTGAAAAAACTGATACCACTTATAAGACTGATATTAAAAATAATTTAGGTGATAACAAAGAATACAAATATGAAGAAAAAGAAACGTGGTTAAATATTGATGATATTCAATATAATAATCCTGAGAAAGGTACAAATACAACACCCAGCTTTACTATTTAAAAATAATCAAATGCTAAAAACTGAATTGTTTTTTAGAAACAAACGACAAGTCCCTGCTCTCCCCAATTAGAAATGTAAGGGTGACCTCTCATTTTAATGACGATTTAGAAATAATACAGTTAAATATATCATGGGACAAGCCATCTGGTAAGACTTAATTTAAAATTGTATATGTATGTGTTAAATAGTGAAAACATCTCGAATCTCCAGGAGAGAGAAAGTCAAATTCGATTTTCACAAAAAACAGAGCCCAAATAAGGTTTAAAAGTTTATTTGTGTTACAAAAAAGCGCCAAAATGTCTCAAAGAGAATTCCAAATTGTTTGGCAATAGGTAAATTATTTTCGATCTGTTATTGTTATGTTTAATGCGTCAAATTTTGTTGCGAAACAGCTGGACCAATTTGGATGAGAGAGGGTTATTTTGGACTACACTTATTGACTGTTTATTGATTATAACAGTTATCTTATTTATAAATAGTTAGACATGACGTTAGACGTGGACGAAATTAATAGTAAAAATTAGGCCTTCATAAAGTTTCACTAGGTACTGTTATTGTACATAGGTAGAGTAGAAATTAACCCTTAATAGGCTTAACTTTACTAAAGATACCAAGAATCTACCTCTCTAACGCACATTGCGTCCTCACATCATTATAAATCAGTAAATACCCTAAAATCCAGGATAACTTTAGGAACATTTCGAGTTATGGTGTTTTGGCTGTATTAGGAGTATACTAATTAATAAAATAATTACTCTTTTTTGTTTTGTTAGATTCTTGTAATCCGTTGTATTATGATTTTAAAATACTGCCACAATCAATCGACGATTTCTCCTGCTCTCCACATAACTATTTGGAATCTAATCTAGAAGATGGGGTGGGTAATTTACTCTTATTTCTTGCTGTAATTATATACTGCAGGTGAATTTAAATAATTTTAAAAACAAATGCCGTTTAATTTCAGAATATAACAAATATGCTTTTACCGTATTATCTTCACACTACGGAGATCGAACCTGGTTGCACTTATTCTGTTGAAATTTCTGCCCATTGTACAGGTGAAATGCACATCGAAACAAGTAATTACAGTGTACCCGGTAAATAAAAAATTAAATTATTAATTATTTATTATACGTAGGATTTTGTATAATTTGAGGTATTTTCTATATATAATATTTTTATCCAAACGTTATTATTCCTATTGGGGTGGCTCATTCCAATTTAGAAATATAAATAATATAATCCATTGTATATAGGTTTGTAA